CACTTTATTTGGTCTCTCCTTGCCCTCTGTGAAGAGGGGGTAGGTGGGTGGTGGTTTCAGATTATACCAGGAAACTTCTGAGGACCAATATAATCTCTCTTGTTGGGGTCCCTAGACCCCACTATTCCTCAGTCTCCAGAAATTTTTCTTTCCCAAACAAAACCAGGCCAGTTATCTTTTAATCATCCACACACATTAGGGCTTCCACACTCATCACCATTCACCTCCAAGCTGTGGAGGAGGGCTGATGCAAAACCCAGGTTGGGGTCTATATCAGGATCTCTCCCACACAAATAGTAACAGGAGTAACTGCTTAAACCCTCACAGGAGTGCTAATGTAGAACAGGTGAAAAATGAGTCGGCCTTGTCCCAAGAGAGACTCGGAAATGACCCCTGAATGACGTGCGAACATGAAAGTATCCTATGGCATTAAGGCTGTTCACGCCACTTTAAGTCCTGAATTCCTAGTACAGACCTACTTTGGCAGGCCGTGCAAATGGCTGCTCTTTATTCCGTGGGCTGAAGACTTTCTTGCTCTCAACTCTCTAAAGGATTTTTGAAAAACCATATATGTCTTCACACATTTTTTGGTTAATGACTAAAATTATTTAAAAGTTGAAATAGTTGAAAAAGATGTAATTTCTAGCACATTGTAGATACTCAGCTTAAAATAAAATAGTTGTATCATTCTTTTAAATGAACCCAATGGACTCTGCTATAGCAATATATCTTCCATCACCCATTTAAAAAATATACAAATGAATTCTTTAAAACATTCATTTCTTTATTTGCCTAAAGTTTGGTTCCACTTCCCTACAGAAATTTAGCCTACATTTTTCTATTTTAGAAACTCTCTTAGCAGCCACTCTATAATACTTGTCAATAACAAAAAGATGTATACAAAATTTTTCTAGTGGTCAAGTGTTAAAATTATTCCAAACTAAATTATTACAGATGATACTACATAACTTCAAAAATCTATTCCTATCTCTGTTATAGACATAAGCACTATATTTGCTTCCATAAAAAATAGATGGGAAAGGAAGCATCCTCTGTTCTTTGAATTCCTTCTCAGTAGCTTCAACTTACATAGTGACCCAGCAAAAGATTATTTTTAATAATCCATCAGCTGATAACTGAATTAGCCTTTTTTCAATTTGGTGGATAACAAAACTGGGACCCACCTGACCCGACCAGCATGTGTGGCTCCTTCATCAGAGTTACTCCCTTTCTCACCATCAGTTTCCCACTGTCCTTTTGTGTGTCGTCCTCGAGATTTTTGCTCTCCAAGCAAAGCACCGCCCTCCTGTACAGGAGGATTAAGAAGTGTGCCTTTCTTTTGCAAAGTTTCAAAGCAGTGAGAAGGGAGGTCTGAGAACAACACCCCCGCTGCCTCTCCAACTGCAGGCCTGGTTTTTTGCAAATCAGTGTTTAGATTTGCCAGTACCTGTGGATATTTAGGATCTGAAAATGGATTCCCTTCAAAAAAATTATGGAATAACAACTGTCTTGCCAAGGGGTTTCAGCCTCAGACAAGTGCACTATGGATTCAATGTGACTAAAGAAATGACAGCAGAACGTTCTTAGGGTGAAAGGGTTATACCCAGTTTTATTTCCATGGTGGCAGGTCAACCCCTAGAGTCCCATTTACTCAGAGTGAGTCTACATGCAGCAAGCTGGTCTCTGCCTCTGGGCCTCTCTACCCCCCACAGCCATCTCAGTGTTTGTCCTTGGTGCTGTCACCACTCCAGTCTCATCTCTGCTCTCCTGCAGCCATGCCACCATGTCACACAGACCACTGGGCAGAGCTCTCCATAGAGTCAACAACAACGCATTGCCCACACGCATGTAGTGAATTAGCCAACCAGGGCCAGGTGAGAATCCTGACGACAGGAACCTTCTCTTTGTCCACAACAACTCTTTGAAAAGTCTTGGCATATGCCAGGGGGAACACAAACCCCAGTTAGAAGATGGCAGCCTTCACAGTTTAGAGCATTTGGGAAACCTACCTGCCAGGAAGCAGGGGAGAGAAATCGCTAGGATAAAGTTCTTAGCAGTTAGCCCATCATCACAGAACACTTTTTGTATGTGATTGTATTGTCATCTATTGCTGAATAACAAATCACCCCCAAAACTTAGTGGCTTCAAACACATACATTTCAAACACCATCTCAGTTTCTATGGGCCATAGATTTTATTATCACAGTTTCTTTAATTTAGACACAGCTTTTCTGAATCATTTGCTTCAGTGTGTTTCATGTGGCTGCAATCAAAGTGTGAGCTGGGGCTGTGGTCTTCAAGCTGTGTCTGAAGGCTCCACTAGGGAAGAATCTGCTTCCAAGCTCATTCAGCTATTGAGAGAATTCAGCTCCTCGAGGGCAGCTGGCCCTGCACCACCTGGGGGTACTTATTAAACGTGCAGACTTGTGGACCACACGTGGAAATTGAATTAGCATCTCCTATTACCCCCTTAATACTGATACACCCTAATGTTCAAGAACCACTGGCGTAAAAGCAAGTGTTAACGCTCTAGAATAAGATGGAGTGTAACTGAATACTGGCTATCTGACCTAGAACATCACTCCCACCCTATCACCCCCAGCAGCTCCCAGCCTCACTTTGATCATCTGTGAAATAAAATTATTCAAACCTCAACAGAGTGACTCTGAGGCTCAGCAAAGATCACAGAAGAAAAGCACTGGTCAGTTTCCTAGCACAAAGTAAAATTTAAAATATCTTTATTATTATTCAAAGGAGGCAAAGACCATATCTGAGTGTGTGATTAGAAATTTACAAAGCTCTGGCCAAGAGTAGTCTCCTCGGGGATGTGATTCCATTCAGTCAGTATGAATTAAGATTTTATTTTATGCCATGTATGGTGGAAGCCAGAAAGTTGGAACCAGGTTGGGGGTGGGGAAGGATGAAAACAAATGAATTTTAGGTTGGTCTGAGGTCCTAGGAGGATTTCTAGCATTGTCTATCTGGCAGGTGGAAAGGTAAATCTAAATTATGGTTAGAATTATATTTGAGAGTTAACATTGCAATAAGAGATGAGATAGGGGTGTGGATGAGAAGAAAGGTGACATTGGCAACATTCCAAAATTTGGGCCAATTTTATTCAGGAACCAGAGCTAGAAAAGGACATTGAGAAAATGTGGAGAGGCTGGGAAAACACAGGAGGAAAAATGATAGATGCTAAGGGAGGAGCTGGTTTAACATAAGTAAGTGGGAGTCAATTACAATCGCATGCTTCAGAAGAAGACAAACTTGATAGGATGGGGTTGAGTGGGAACCATCCATGTAGGAAGGAATTAAAGCAGCAACTCTCAACCTTGTCATTAGAACCCTCTGGGAGCTCTTAACAATCCCTTTACTCAGGCAGCACCCTAGACAAATTTAATCGGAATTTCTTGGAGTGGGAGCCAAGCATTCATTTTCGTAAAAGTGATTCCAATGGGCAGAAAGTGTTGAGAACCATTTAGAATTATGGAGGGACTGGGTGTAAGTGGAGCCAGCTGGTACAAGCTACAGCTTCAAGAACTTTAGCAGAAAGAGTTGCTGGTAGAGAGACAGGATCATCATGGGAGCTTGGTGGTGGAGAAGGAAGGGGATCTGGAGCCCAGGTGGGGACTGAGCCTTAGCAAGGGGGCTTTCTTAAAGCAGGACAATACCCTGGAGAGGTGTGAAAACAGAGAGCTTGGCCCCACCTCCAGCATTCCTGATTTAGTAGGTCTGTGGTGAAGCCTCGTAATTTATATTTCTAAGTTCCTAGGTGATGCTGATAGTTGAGGGGAGTATCTTTCGAGAACTATCAGAATACAGAGAGGGAAAATGCAGACAGATTTTTGAGTGAGAGAGAAATGATGGAGCTGTTTCCTTTCTGCTCTTGCCAGTGATATGAAAAGCTCATTTCGGGTCGAGACAGCTGCCCAAGCTTTGGTCAACTGTATTTGTTAAGCCTGGAAGTACAATCCTTTAGAATTACAGAGGAGCTTAAAAAATTCAGATACTCAGGTCCTTTAAACAAATAAGGATTCCTGAGTGTGGGGCCCCTTCCTTAGAACTGTTGAAGCTCTCCATTGTCACTGAGGAGGCACAGTTGCAAAGAGCCTGCAGGTGAATTAAATGGGGATCCTGGTTCCACCTTCCACGTGAAGAGCTTAAGTGAGAAGGGTTTAAGAACCACCTTCCAGGAAGAGGGGCTCCAGCACAAATCCAAGAGGCGTAGATGGAGACACTAGCTGAGAACCACACTCAGAGGCTTTTCTTCGTTCAGGTACAAATATGGCTTGAAAAAAATTAAAGCTGTGTCTTTTCATACTTACTCTTCTTCCCACTCCTGTCAAGCTATTTTCCTTCTTGGCTGGAATTTCCACTTTTTGCCGCAAGTCGAAGAGGTACTGAAGCTGCTGTGGGCAGCTAAGTGCCACAGGCAGAAGGAACCAAAGTAAACGAAGCAGGGAGCGGCCGAGTATACGTGTGGGAGAGAGAAGAGAAGAGGTGAGGCTGTCCAGAAGTAAACAATCCTCCCTGACTTGGGGGTGGTGGCCGGGAGCCTCGTTAGAAGCTGTGGGTAAGCCAAGCAGACTCCCAACTTTCTGATAAGCATTTCAGCGCAGGGCCTGGCGGAGGTGGTTTTGTTTTTAGCATACCCAGATCATCTTAACCTGCAACGTAACTGACTTTTAATAATGAAAACGTTGAAGGAAGCTACCTAAAATCCCGAGGGAGATATGGGGTGGGGGTGGGGTATCTCAGTTGGCATCTTTCCTTCTCAGCACCGTCTCTGCTTACTCCTCCCTCCCTCATGTACTCCATCCCGGCCCAGCCCAGGGGCGCGGCCCACGGGCCCGCAGCGCGCAGCACGGCAGGTGTCGGCGCCGAAGCGCACCTGGGCGAGCGCGCGCTCGGTGTCCAGCAGGGGGCGGCCCGCGGCGGCTGCCTGCCCAGCCCCGCCCCGAGCCCCGCGGACCCCGCTGCGGCGGGGGCGTGGGAGGGCGCGTCCGCCCCGGCCTGGCAGAGCTCAAAGGTGGTGGCGGCAGTGCCCCGGCCGGCCGCTCCGGTGCGCACCCGCCCCCTCCGGCCGGAGCCCGCGCCGCCTCCCATACCTGAGCGGGGAGCGGCGCCGCGGCCTCCTCCCCCGCCCTCGCCTCCTGCCCGGCCGCAGCTGCGCCGCCGCCGCGGGAGTAAAGGTCGCGCCGGCCGAGAGCGAGCTGTCGCGGCGCCTCCAGGAAGCCGGTGGGGCAGGTCAGGGGAAAAACAGACGAGAATCAAACTCTCAGCCCGCCCGGGAAGATGGCGCTGGGCGCGCCGGCCGCGGACTGAGCGCTGCCAGGGCGGCGAGGGGCCCGGACCCACCGCCCACTGGGGTACGAGTGAGGGCCGTCCGCCGGTCGCGGCTTCCGGGGCTCGGGCCCGGCCCGCGGGGTCATGTCGGTCAGCGAGCTCTACAGCCAGGTGAGCGCGGGGCGGGGGCGGTGCACTCCCGGCCACTGAGGTGTCCTTGTGGGCGTCGCCGCCTGCAGCTCGGGGACGCGGGGGCAGCGGGAGGCGCTTCCCAGTCCCAGCGCCCCTAACTTGGGGTGGCGAAGAAAGTTTGGCTCTTCCGGGAGCGCCCGCGCTGAGTGGCCGCGGCTCTGCTCCTGGCCGGGACAGTCGCCCCTTCTCCGCCCTCCCATCAGTTTTTGCGCCCGGTTTCGTGCTGGCTGTGCGTGCGGCCAGCAGCCCGCGGTCGCACCCGGTGGACCCCGCCGCGGGCTCTCCGCAGCGCAGCCTCCCAAGGGCGCACATCTTCTGGGCACGGAGGAAAGCGAGCCCTGAATTTGAGGGTGGGAGAAAGGGGGCTCAACCTGCTGTTGGGGGCTAAGGGGTCGTAGGTAAGCAGGGGGTAAAGCGAGAGGTGCTCGAGGGATCTCCGGCCCGCCCAGGGAAGGGTGCTCTTAACCTGCCCGCCCAGGGAAGGGTGCTCTTAACCTGCCCGCCCAGGGAAGGGTGCTCTTAACCTGCCCGCCCAGGGAAGGGTGCTCTTAACCTAGCCGCCCAGGGAAGGGTGCTCTTAACCTGCCCCGTTGGGCATTTTAAGGCACTTCGGGGTAGGTACCAGGAGGGCTTAAGTTATTTCGCGGAGGGAGTCGGAGTAACGCTGACCCCGGGGAAGTGTGGATTTTCAGCCTGCTTTCAAGGTCAATGTGCGGGGCTTGGTTCTTGGTCGGGAACAGGTGCGGTGGGCAGAGATGCCCCGCTTCCGCCGCAGTTGCTGTGGTTAAAGTTAGGGACCAAGCGCTGCTTCCCGGCGCGCCCATGGCCGTGCGCCAGCCGCCGAGCAATCTCGGGTATCAACTTGGCACGGGGAGCAGGTACCTTTACACGCGTGCTGCTCGCTCTCCCCTTAAGTTTTGGATGTCCTAAAGCCGCTTTTGTCTATTCGTCTTTTCTGCGGCCCCTACACCTTGGACAGTGTCTGGCGCGCCCGTCTCCGTGCGGAGGGGGATGTGTGCACGCGCGCCCGGGTGTGGGCGGGCGATTCCCGGGACTCCGGCTGGGCCGACAGGTCTGGGTGGGGAGGAAGAGCTACTTCCGCATCCTCACCTCGGGATTGCTTGCTGCTGCCCGGCGAGGGGGCGAGCCCTTGGGCTGGCTGGGCTGGCTGCTTTCCGTTGGACCAATTTTCTAATTTCTTCCCGGAGGGAACAGGGCCGAGTTAGTAGGACCCTCCTCAGGGAGTAGTAGAGGCTGTAACTTGGGTGGGGGCGGGGCCGCAGCAGCCTCGGATCCCTTCCTCCCCCACCGGAGTGTCTCGGGCAGCGGTCTGGGTGGGGCAGTAGCTTCTGGCAGAGAAAAGGTGTGAGATCTCTGGCACTTCTGCCTTTGGAAAAACACCGCAATTTGTTTTCCCATGGAGGTTTTGGGATGAGCCCTCAAACTTCCAGCTTTGTTATTTACCTCAAGTGGCTTACCGGAAACTCCGGGAGTCTGGAAACCTGTGAAGTAGGGAAAGATCTGAACTAGAGTGTAAAGCACAGAACTGCACGAAAATACCGCTTGTACTTCTCAGTAAAAGGAGCGACTAACCGACTGTCTGCAATGTTCCATGAAGTATTCTCAGACAATAACTGATGGTTGTTACTATATGAAGATAATGGGCGAGTGAATAAGCCCTTAACTTTTGGAGCCCTGATTCTGAAAAACTTTTAGCTTGCCTTTAAAGATAATACTTCTCAAGGGGACAAAGCAATAGGATTTTTAGAAATGAGTAGTTTGTATATTTAGAGCCTTTACGTTTCAATGTACTACGTTGGGACTTGTGGTATGGACAAAACTCTCACTGGGAAAAGGTCACAAGACCAAAGAAGTCTATTGGTGTGAGGGTTTGGCATAATTAATGCCAAAAAAAAAAAATACTAGAATGCTTCCCTAGCCTGGAGGCCTGTATCTCTGTTAGTGGATTTCTAGTTCTTAATCTCTTAAACCTAATGAATCTGAAATTGAGATTTCTGTGGCCAACACAGATTGCATTTTGAGCACATCTTTCTGGCAGAGTTAAACACTTATGCTTTACTATGAGAAACAGGTGCATTTCCTAACTATCACCCCACTTGCTAGGCTGGGTTCTCCGTATGCATGAGTCAGATTATACAAATGAATTGTGCATTCTACTCAGATTCATTGTTTCTTGGGATGATTTCATTTTAGTGTGTAATCAAAATGGCCAATGTTCCCTTATTTTTAACCTGCTAGTGGGCTTTTCTAATATGAATGCTAGATACAGGCATGTGCTTTAATGTATTATGTATGATGGAAATAATTATGTCAACAGCATATATAAGTAATGGGAATTTTAAAGCCTTTATTATACGTGTTGGTTTTAGTGACACAGAAAATGTCATTAGAATTAGACACACTGGAATGCATAAATGAGCATACATAGTTTTAGTTAAGAACTTAAGTGAGTCTATACAAGAAAAGACTCTCCAACTTAACTGTTTTATTTTGCTCTCTTCAACTGGTGATTCATATGCTATGTGAATATTTGTTTTGGAGTTGATTTTAGTGACTGACGAAGGGTACCCCCTGTCAACAAAGGCAGCCCTGTTTTCAGAAGACTCAGCACTTCAACTTAGAAAAATTGCTTTTGTAGTGGATGGGAAAAGAAAACCAGAGGACTTTGAGGGCAATATCAAAGTGAGTCAGTCTCATCTCCTCTTACAGAGAGGTGGGGTGATGATGGACTAGCTTCAAGTGGCACATGTAAGTGTTAGTACTTTGTTTCCGACCCCCATGGAGTGACAATGTGTGGGCTAATCTGATTCGTACATGTCCCATGAAGATGTCCAGACATGTGCAAGCATTGAGTACCATTTGATTATAACAGTAGAGAGTTTGATTTTTAAAAACACAACTTGGGTTGAAAAATACTACTTTATAGAAGGCTTATTCTGAGTGAAAAACTTAAATATTACTTTTTCAACTAAGTCTTGCTGTCGCCTTTGATTCTAGCTAGTAGACTGGGAAATCATTGGTCTGAAACCAGCACCTTGAAATCATCCTGTTCCTGCTTGATTTTAATTGGTAGGTGGTGTGTGAGTACTGCTGGGTTGCTTTGCTGGCGGACACACCTGTGTATGTCAGTAATGTCTTGGAGCATAGGGCCAATCCTTTGGAAAATAGAACCTAAGCTTTTGGGCTGTTGTCCTCTGTCCTTATGTATCAGGCAATGCAGGTTTCTCCCAAGTAACAGTCTGGAAGGCAGCGGAGCCTTCTGTATCCACCCACTGCCATTGAAGGGACTAGTCCTGCCTTCTACTATTGCTTCCCAAGTGGGGCTCTTTCAAAAAAAAAGGGGAACCTGGCAATCAATGGCAGCAGGTGCTGTTAAGTGTCCCTACCTGTCCTTTGCTCCTGCACACTGCCTGGAGCTTGCTTGCTCCCAGTAGTCAGCACTGGGGTCTCTCAAAGGCTCCTGGAGCCTGGGAATTGACATCCCCCAGGGACACAGTCGTTTAGCCAATGGGAGTATAGCAGCTGGAGCTTCCAATCCCCCCACCTTGAGAAGAGGATTGCTCTAAGGTGAGGCCCACAGTTTCCAGAGTTCCTGTACAGGTTGAGCCCAAGTCTCTGTGCTGGGGGACCTCCCTAAATATCACACCCCTGCTTGGCTTTCTTCCCTGTCCTATTTCCCCACTCCCCTTTCCCAGGAGGTCTGCCTAATGGCTCTTGAATGGGCTCTTCATCTTAGAGTCTGATTCTGCAGGCTCGAATTGAACACAACCAAGGCTTGGCCAAGTGGGCCTTGAGAAGCTCCTTGGGGCCCTTTGACCCTGGGCTGGCAGCATGATGGTGTCGTGTCGCACTCTGGCCTCCTGCCTTGCCTGGTCCTTTCCCATCCCAGAGCTCCCATTCCCTTTCCACTCTGCTCCCCTTTCTCAGCTGGGCCTGTAAACTCAGTGGGCCCTTCTTGCCCCTGCTGGAGACCATTAGAATCCCAAAGTCTGCAAATTGTTAGCCATTTCACATGGCTTGTTGTTCCTTGTGTGCCCTAGACAAGTGTGCCTTGTCACCCTTGTTAGTTCATGTCACATTGCCCTAATTAGGCTGAGGGCAGAGGGCGTATCATATGTTTTAGGGAGCCTGTAGTGTGTCTAGTGTTTTGCCTTATGCATGGCGGGTACTTACTTGGGTTATTGGGTGGTTTTGGGGAAGACTAGGGGACAGAGGATCCTGCTAGAACTTTCTTGTAGCTGTTGCTGACACCAGGTCTCTCCACTGAGGCCTCTTGAGGAAGGTTGCTTTTCAGCTGCTAGTTTCTCTGCATTTCCTCTTAATGTTTTCCTAATATTAGCTGCAAGATAGCCACCCATTAGGAGGCTTCCTGATGGTTCCAGATCTGGAGTTTAGTAGAGAGATGGCTTCTCTTTCTGCTGATTGGACAAGGTTCTTCTGAATGGAAACTAAATATACATTCTGAACTCTGGCAAGATTAAAAACACATTTTCTGTGGTAAGGGTCAGATGTAAACCAAACTGCTTACAATGTCTATGTCCAAGTGCTGTCTTCCCTAAATGGTGTATTTGTCACTATACACAAAATTGCCAAGGTAAATCTGTGGATTTGAAATGGTAGTTAACCTGTTTTGTGATTCCGCTGGTTTCCAGAATCCACATTAAAAAACACTCATTCAAAAGGGAACAGAACCTGTGTTCTGATGTGCTTGTCTACACAAATGCATTTGCCTTGTCATTGGGCAAACACAAAGCTAACTACAGCATTGCCCATGTGTCAGGAGTGTAGACAGTCTTAAGCATTTGTGGGAGTATTGTGGTCAGGTGGGCTGCAGAAATGGGGAAAGACATCTTTGGTGACAATGAGACATGTTGGTCTTGAATGAACAATTTGAGGTTCACTGGAGATTAGAAGGAGGGGCACTCAAGAGGTGGTAAGCACAGGGACAGGGATGAGCT